GTTGCATACAGATTATTTGGATATGGCAATATTTAAGTAATTAATTCATGTGAAAATGGCTTCTGTTAAAGGCTAAATGTATTTTGGTTGTGAACAAAAAGTAGAGCTACTGAACATAGTGTAATCACACAAGCTCACAGGGTAAAATGAATGAAACAAATGGCTTTGAAAGACCTGTCGACACTCCACAGCACCGAAACCCCCCAAAACAATGTCAATTATAACTCTTTATGTACTTCAACCAATATGTTTACAAGAACCCAAAAATAAAAAATTATTCCAATTGTAACTTTAACTGGAAAAGTGGAAGAGTTTTAGAACAAAGACATGGGTGGTTTCACTTTCATTGTCCGGATAAGTTTTGCATACTTATGGTCCATTTATACAAATTTTGAAAACAACCATTAAATTGAAAGATTATTAAAAACCCACAAAACTGCAATATAGACTTGTATCTACGGAAAAATAAAAGATGATACATTGAAACTACAACAAGAGGACTCGTTCACTGACCCAAACAGTAAGATGCATTACTTCATGCTATATAGTTCGATTCGGTGACAACCGAAAAGGAAGGAGGGATAATGGAAGGAGACATCGAAGCCAGGTTTTGTTTAATCATATAACATAAAATAAGTAAAACCAGTAGCGGTATTTAACCTTTTGACTGCATCACAGTGAGGTAACTCGAACACATCCTATGTTCGATGATGAGCACAGTCAGGGGTGGCCAGAGCTATTTTGGGGCTAAAGCGAGGATTCTAAGCGATTTTTTTTATTATTAATATAATTTTTATTTATTTTATTTTCTAAAATTCAAAATTAATTTTTTTGTATGTTTTTCATGATCAATAATTATTATATTACATTTTCAATTATTATAAAAATTTTATTTGTTATTTTTTTCTCGTATAATTTTAATATCTTCTAATTATTTAAGATCTATCACTTGTTTATTTCAAAACTTTCACTTAAATCTTTTATGATTTTTTATTACTAATAATAAATTTATTAAGAGATTTTTTTTTTTTTGATTCAATACATTTTTCTCTTTTTTTTTTTAGTTCCTCATATCTGAATTATTGTTTTTTAGTAGCCACAACTTTTTGACAATCCAATTTTTTTAATAAATCAATCAAATATTCTCTATAAGAAAAAAAAACTTAATAAAAATTAACACTATAAAACAATAACACTTAATTTTTATCATTTGTGTTCCTAAAACTTAGGATATTATAATGTGATTCTCCTTTAATATTATTTATAAAAACAAATAAATAAGTTGATTGATACTATATTTTGTACAAAATAAAATTGAAAAAGAGAAGATGCAAGTATAAAATAATATACTGGGGTTGATTTGATGACTTTTGTTGTGTGAAATAGAAAGGCGGTCACAAGCCAAAGGGGAAAGAGAATCCTTTACTTTATTTTTAGATGAAAACAAAAATTAATTTTGTGTGTGTGTGAGAGAGAGAGAGAGATGTTTTAATATGAGAGACATAGGAGAGAGTGTTTGATTGATGTAATTGACTAGTTAAAAAGAGTAATTAATGGTATTGATTATTAATTTTTTTATTTTTGCATGTGAGTAGATAACTTTTTTTTTTTGTTTTTGTTAAAATTTTATATTTTTAACCAAATGAATTGTGAGCCTTTTTATTTTTACTATGCCACAAATGCTTTTGGATTTGTGGGCCCAATTTTGTTAGAAATCTTTTGTTAGTTTGAATTACATAGGATTTTTTTGTTTGGACTCAATTTTATTTGAGTTAAGTTTTTGGTTTGAATCATATTGAAGGCTTATAAAGTTCTAACAAAAATTCAAAAGTCTCATTGATTTCACAAACAAGTGATAGTATTTTATCTACAAAGTAAACTCTTTCATTTTGAAACGCCAACTAGTCACCAATAAACAAACATGCAATGCATTCAGCCCCAATCTCAAGTCTTTAATATTCCTAAAAAACTACTCTCTCCGTTCCTAAATATCTGTCGCTTCAGGTTTTTGCATAGGGATTAAGGAAGCGATTAAATAGTTTTAATATGAGTAAAAAATAATTACACAAGACTAAAATACCCTTATTCAATATATATTGGGAAGGAAAAGAATATGAAAGACACTTAACCTCCACCTAATCTAATGCATTGAAAAGTTAAGGATAAATTTGAAAAAAAAAATATTAATTATATTTTGATTTCATAAAACGACAGATATTATGGAACAAAAAAAATTGTGTAAAACGATAAATATTTAGAAACGAAGGGAGTATGCATTACCTGACATATACGAAAATTCCCATAGCACGCAAACACAAATTCTAGTTTAATCAAGCCACATACTCCGTAGAAGGCCACATTAGACACCCTCAATCACTTAAAATAAACCCCAAACTCTTCACTCCCGCAACTTATCAATAACACAATTGTTTTCCTATTTAGTCATTTGCATACGCATACGATCAAACCCTACAAATTCATGCACCCCATGAAGTCCTGTTTTTCATTAATCGTATCTTGCTATTGATCCCATTTTTTTCTAAATAAAAGCACAATTTTTCATCAGTTGAATTGCATGTATATGCTTTAAAACCCCATAAATCCTTACCACGAGAATGTTGTTAGTGTATTCCCCCATGAAGCCCTTCAATTTTTGTTTAACTCCCTCCAGCAACGTCGCCACTCCATCGCTTGTAAAATTATTCCTAAATGTCTGATAGTTGACATTGCCGAATCACTTCTAAAGCTATGAAGCTTTTATTGGAAGAGAAAATAGGAAGAAAGGGAGAGAGAACAGCGGATAAACAATTCCAGAGTGTCTGAAGCTATGAAGCTTTCATTGAGAGAGAAAATATGGAGAGAGTGAGAGCGTAATGGCTGAGAAGCAACTCAAGAGGTTGATTAGGTTTAGTGTGACATTTATTTTGAAGGATAAGGATGACATAGTTGTATTATTATAGGGCAAAGGTGGAAAAAAAATTTCAACTATGTTGGTATTTTGAAATAGTATAGATATAGATTTGGAAGAATCCTTTTTATAGGCTTTAAAGACCAACAGTCATGTGCCAACCCCACCATAAAATCTAAATCACCCAATTAAGAATAAGGTTTACAACATCCCATTAAATCCTAAATTAAATGGTTGATTAAAACTCATAAAATAAAATAAATGAGAAATGTTAAAGCTTTTATGTTTTCAACAATATTATACCTGGTTTAACACATTGGAAAAGTCCAAACTTCTTTGCTTACTTCCCTTCCAGTGGAAGCATAGCAGGATTTATTGGTGAAGTGCTTAGCGCTGTTGGATTCAATTGATTTCATCACCAGTTGCCACAGAGCGAGAGAGCATAGTAATGGATTGGTTTGGAAAAATGCTTAGCCTTCCCACTTCATTTCTTTTCTCTGGTGGTAGTGGTGGTGGTAGTGGTGTTCTCTCTTGAAATAACCCCTCGAATTTTCAATCTCTTTTTGACCACAAAGCCTGCTGCACTTTGGTTATCTCCCGATTCACTAAGGTCAGTAATTCAATTATCAAATCTGGGCTAATTACATTGTTTTTCTGTGCCACTATAGGAACTCCTTCATGCAATGCAGTTGATCCATTGGGGTCGTTATGTGATGTAGCAAAAGATTATAATATATGGGTTCATATTGATGTTGCATATGTAGGAAGTGTATTTAGTTGCCCAAATGAATACATAAATTCGTAACTAAATACTAATTTTTTATTCTTGATAAGCTCTTGAAGAAGTATCAACTTGATCAACAAAATCCTTCAGCAATTGCTAATTGTCCATGCCAGTAAATTTATTAGAATTTATTAGAGATTTGCCCCCACTAAATTTTTTTTAAAAGATTTAAAGGTAGTTATGTTATTTTGACAAATATATGAGTCCTACTTATAAATATCAATGGAAGATGATATCAAAAATTTGGGCATTTAAAGATTAATTAATATGCTACGAAGTAGGTTAGCCCTTTCATTTGTTTTATGTTTATATATTGAACTAAATTTAGGGTTTGTAGTCCTCTTATTTGTTTTATGTTTATATGTTAGAATTGAAAATTAGGATTTGTAGTCCTCTTTTGTGGTTTATTTTTTAAATATTGAATTGAAATTAGTGTCTATATCTCTCTGTTGTATTTTATTTGTTATATGTTGAATTGAAAATATGAAATTAGGGCTTGTAATCATCTCTTATGTTTTATTTTTTATGTATTAAATTGAAACTAAGATTTGTAGTCTTGTATTTATTTTTCTATGTTGAAAAAAAATTGGGGTTTGTAGTCCCCTTTTATGATATATTTCTTTATATATTTAATTGATATTTGTATTTGTAGTCCTTTCTAGTATTTTATTTTTATATGTTGAATTAGAATTAAGACTTGTAGTCGTCTCATTTGTTTTAGTTTTATTTGTAGAATTGGAATTGGGACTTATAGTCCTCCATTATAATTAGACTAAATTATTTTGATTTGATAGTTTGAATAGTTTTATTATAATAAGTTAAGTACTTCATATACGTAGGTTTAGTTTATTAGAATAATTATAGTTTGAATTAGTTTCGATTGTTTGTTAAAATTTAATAATGAATATTAAGTTTGTGATTAAACAAATTAATTTTTGAATTAGTTATGAAAATTTTTCTTAAAAATTAATATATGATTGAACCCAATTTTACGGTCCAAATTTTTTTGTTAGGTCTTATAGATAAATCTATAATGATTTTTTTTTTATTGGTTCATTTTATATATCACGCATGTATATGAATTACTTCTTTAATTGATGTTCAATTAATAAAACTATACTTTTGTGAATATTTTAAATTTTAATATTAATATAGGTTAAGTTGCCCCACTGCAGAAGATGTTTGGCTCTGCCCCTGATCCATGCTATGTTTAATATTAATATGGCATGTTTATAAAATGCACAAAGTACTCGTAGGTGAAGGATGAAGACATTGTGTTTTATCATGCCCCCGCAAGGTTTCCATAAATCAACACACTAAATTAACAGCGTGAGATAGGTCTGGCAAAGTGAGGGTGAGATACTGAAGATCACCCACGAGAGTACGATAAGAAGTAGCATCAACTAATTGGTCATAGAGGAGTGAAGATGGCGTTTCTGAGCAAAGGGAGTACCAATTGGTTTACACTCACCCATATAGGCTTTGGCTTACACTCACCCACCAGAAAAGGGCAGAACTTCAATACCCAAAAAATAATGTAAAGGGCCAAGATCCTTCATTGCAAACTCCCTTGTCACATGACCTGTGTCCTCTTTCAGATTCGCCACTCGTTGCACCAAATTTTGCATTCTGCCCAATTGTCCAAGCACTGCCTGATCCAACCAATGGAGATCCATCCATAGCGGTGCCTTGCAAGGTTAATAATCATACCAACAACTCATCATCTGGTACACACAATCATGCTTCAGTTGGGAAATCCACCTCTGCCACCACAAGTCCCCATTTTATGGAGTACTCATAAGGCTCCATGCCATCTGGGTCTTCCACTTCATCACTGGCAAAAGTACTGGGGACTATACATATTGATCTCCCCTTTGATAATCCACTGTCCACTTTGCCCAATGATCCACCACCTACTGTATAGCCTGCAAGCTCCTCCATTTTGATAAACATTCGTCCAATGGTTACAAGTGGGAAAGCTCGTGCTCATCAGTCACTTCTCACTCTTCTTACCACTCATCCTGTAGAACTCGAGTCTGAAATCAGCACTCCAAAGTCTCTATTGGATGGAAGTAATGCATGACGAACTTGCAGCATTGCAGCATAATAGAACTTGGACTTTGGTTTCTCGTCAACCTCACATGCACGTTATTGGATCCCGCTCAGTCTTTAAAACCAATTTAAAATCCAACAGATCCATTGAATACTTTGAAGTTCGATTAGTTACTAAAGGATACAATCAGTTAGTCGGTATTGATTTTAATGAGAACTTTAGTTCTGTCATCAAAGTACTGCTCTGATACCACGAAGAAACAATAAAACTAGAATTGAAGTGATGACGAAAAGATGTCCACAAAAAATGTGTCAGCTAAGTTCCATTATTTTATTATTTATAATATGCAAAGAGATACAACTATGATAAGGGAATCCTATCTAAACCCAACTGAATACTTAAATTCCAAACTAATTACTTATTATTTATTCTTAATAAGCTCTTGAAGAAGTATCAACTTGATTAACACAATCCTTTAGCAATTGATAACTTCAGTATTTGATAATTGTTTGTTCCATGTTTATCGCGTGTGAGCCATATCTACAGTAGGCTGTCATGTTTATCAAATACACAAAGCACTCATAGGCTAAGGACGAAGACATTGTGCTTTATCAGTGCCCGAATCAAAGCTCTCTCAAATGATCTGGAGTTTTTGAAGAACAAGGCTTCTGATTCAAAACAAGTGGTGGACTACAAAGACTGGCAAATAGCATTAAGCCAAAGATTCCGAGCAATGAAGCTATGGCTTGTGCTCAGAAGCTATAGAGTATCAAACCTCAGAAACTTCATAAGGGGTCATGCATAAATGGCTAAACATTTTGAAGCGCTCATAGCAATGGACAAGAGGTTTGAGGTCATGGTTCCTAGAAATTTTGCAATGCTTTGTTTTCGGGTTTCACCATTAATGTTGGGGAATGCTAATTAGAAGCTTTTAGGTGAAGAAAATGCAATTGAATTCAATAGAAAGCTTTTGGAATCCATTAATGCAACAGGGAGAGTGTACATGACACATTCTTTGGTAGGGGGAATGTACGTGATAAGGCTTGATGTTGGAGTAACACTGACAAACTATTGCCATGTGAGCAAGGCTTGGATAAAGATACAAGAGCATGCACATACCATGCAAAGTTAGTTTTGGTTACAACATGAAGCTTTCTGGCTGGTCCCCAAATGAATGAATTCAAGCTGACCACTAGATTTCCATGTCCGTAGCATTGTAATAAAGTTAACTACTTAGGCTTAACCTAGTAGCTATTTATGTGTTCCCCTCTTTGGAGGTCTTCTTTCAGATTTAGAATATTAGTAGGTCGGAAGGTGAATTCATACCAAAGACATACTGATTTTCTTTCCTCATAAAACTCAAAATAATAATACAGAAACCCTTTTTTTTTTTATGAACTGGTGATGCAATAAAACTTAGGGTTTTAGCGCTAGAATAAAAAATCCGAATCAATTTCACTTCCTTCTTAAATGTCACAATGTTTTTATGTGAATCCGAATCGAATACACTAATTCATGCATTGATAATCTACGCAGTTCGTTGCCTTTCACGTTTTTCTTCTTGCCTGAATGATCTATTTTTCTGTTTTATATGCCATTATAAGAATATATTTTTGAGATGTCGCTTTTCACATTAATAACTAACTATTGCAAATATGAGAATCTACTTGTGGAAGAGTAGTTTAATTTTGGGGAATTTATTACTTTTTGAATTGCATTTGTGGTAATATATTGAATTCACCCTTTGTTGTCACATTATTAATCCACTTTGTATTGTAACATTATTAATTCACTCTTTGGTGTTTGTTGAGACTTCAAAATTGTATTATTTCATCCAAACATATTCACTTTAAGCTTGCTAATGTACTAATTCATTGTACTTAGTATAGTTTTCATATTAACCCTTGATTTTAGTGTTTGCAGGTGAATTGGATGTAAATGTTGAGTTTAAGCATTGAAAAGATGGCAAGAGACAAGTTGATGTTGAGTTCACTCGAGTAGAGATGAAATCGGGAGTCTTAGAAGCAAATTGGAAGAAAAGAAGAGTTTTACTAGTATGTTTTATACCGGTAGGAAGACAGAAGAATAAAGGTTCTACCGGTCGTAAGTCATTTTACCGGTAGTTTGAACTATAGAAAATTGGTGCAAAAGTCCTACCAGTAGGTTAGCTTCACATTCTACCAACAACAAAACTCATAGTACTTTGCATTTTTTCATCAAAGAAATTCTATCGATAGTTAAACATGTTCTACTGGTAGCAAAACTTACAGTACTTTTATTAGAGAAGTCCTACCGGATGTTCTACCGGTAAAGGGTGTTCTACCAGTTGGTTGAGGCAGATTTTCACGGGAAGTTTAATTAAAAATCAGATCTCACCATGTCTTTTCGGGATTCCCAACCAATGAAGGAAGGAGATAATTTTGGGATGAATAGAGATCAACAATCTGAAGATTTTCCTGGCAACCATTATAAATAGAGACCATTTGAGGAATCAAAGGGGATGCTAGAGAATACGTTTAGGAGTTTTTCTTTTTCTTTTCTTGTTAGAGAGTTTTAGTGTTTATTCTATAGGATTCTAATTTAAGTTTAGTTCTTTTCTTTTATTGTTCAAGCAATATTTAATTTCAATTGTCCTTACTTTCGAAGTCTTGTTATTTACATTCAGTTGTTCAATACGATTTCAATTCATTATTTACTTTTCTACATTTAATTATGTCTTTTTTTAGTCTTTATGTTATTTTTACTATCATGAGTGAGTAGTTTTCTTTTGGATGATCTAAGGAAGGAGTTCCAATCCAATGAGATAGGGAGTACGCTTTAAACTAGGGTTGATTGAAAAGGTTATGCTTTTGAAAACCTAATTGGTTTGCATGTCCTTGTTATTTGTATGCAATTAGTCTTGGTACAAATAATTGTGGTGTTTCATGCAACCTTTAGAATACTGATTCTTTCCTCATAAGATATCTTTCAATTGCTACATTAGTTCTTTCCAAGTTTTTAGTTAAAAGTTATCCATCTGTAGTAGTTTGAATACGAAAGCAAATGAGTTATAGATTTACGATATAAACTCTTATTTTTAGGTGGGATGAATTCTGAAGATTATTCATCTTTTACATAAATTGACTTTCAATTTCATTAGTAGTTAACTCTCAAAATTCTCGAACTCAAAGAGGTTTTTCATTTTATTTTTCATCACCTTGGATTCCAATTATTACCCTGAGAAAACTACCTTGGACTTTTGTTCAAGTTACTACACAATATCTTTCTTGTACGCTTTGAAGCTTTCATGAAAATGCAACCCCTTTGGAGGACAAGCATTTTTGGCGTAGTTGCCGGGGAAGCTAACGGCAATCTGTGGCAATACAGAGGTATTCAGGTAGGTCTTGTGATTTTCATCATGAGCCCAAGTGCGTATCTCTCTTGTAACTTATTTCTTGCTTTCTTGCAATTTTAATTTTTAGGTTTAGCAGATTTGCATGTGGGATTGAGACCAAGAAAATCGACTTGTTAGACTTAGATAGGACTTACCACCAATTGTAGGTATGGTTGTCTAGAATAATAACAATGACATTGATTCACCAATTATCGTACCATCGGGGGGTAATGGCGGGAATAATTTGGTTATAGTTCTGCCTGGTCGGACTATGAAGGATTATCTTCAACCTACCCACTCCTCCTCTCCATCTTGCATTGTACTTGCAGTGCAAGTGCACCAATTCATTGTTAAACTAGGGATGCTCGAATTGTTCCCTCAATTCCATGAAATGGCAAGTGAATATTGTTATCTCTATCTCAAGGAATTTGACGAAGTAGTTAGTACATTCTTGGAACCAAATATACGAGAAGAAATGGCTAGAATGAAACTTTTCATTGTTTCACTTAAAGATAAAGCAAAAACTTGGCTAAATTCATTGAAGCCATAGAAGATCTCTACTTGGGATCAAATGCAAAAAGAATTTTTGACTAAGTTCTTTCCCATTCATAAAGGTACTACTTTGAAAAAACAAATTCAAAATTTTGCCAAGAAACCAAATGAGTAAAATTTTAAAGAGCTCTTAAACTTCATTCCGCATCATGGCTTTGAACCATGGCCGATGGTAAGTTTCTTCTACAAGAGAATTACCCTTGCACATCATCAGTTCATCGACATAATGTGCAATAGAGAGTTCTTATATAAAGAGCCTAAGGAGGCTCTTGATTATTTTGATTGTTTGGCAAAGAGTGCCCAATCTTGGGACATCTCCGACCTTACTAATCGATTAAATCTTCAGTAGCTCCTCAATCATCCAATGGAGGAAAATATTCATTGAAAGAGGCAGACGAGTTTTCAGCCAAGATTGCTAAACTTTCAAGGAAGGTGGAGAGTTTAGAGTTACACAAGGACATCACCTCTGTGCCCAAGGTTGATGACACTGGTTCGATATGCGAGTTCGTTGAGCACTCTATGAGTAAGTGCCTAAGTCTTCTTATGTGTAGGGAAATACAAGAGTAGGTTAATGCATTTAATCAGCCAAGACAGACGTTTTCTCCATACTCTAATACTTACAATCCGGGGTGGTGACACCATCCCAACTTTAGTTGGAGATCTAAAAGCACTGCCCAACCTCCACCCAACCTCAACAATACACTCCTGCCACACATCAGCAGTCACCAAATTATGACGGTCCCTTCGCAAGAACCTCCACAGTACAGGTTTGTTCAGAATCTAACACCACCACCACAACCACAATCACAAGCTCAAGGGTTTGATCATCAAGGTCAATGCACAGTACCTCCTTACCATCCACCCCACAAAATGAGCATAGAAGAAACATTACAGGAACACATTCAGGCTCAGAATAACATCAACAATCAAACTACACAGGTTACAAATTTCATGATGAAGATGATCAATAAGGAC